TTTGGGGTCAATCCAACGGTTAGATCAAACGTTATGCCCATTTTACTAAAGAGTGGTCAGTCTGCCTCGCGAGAGAAAGCTGCAGAGAAGATATGTGCATGTCGATCGATGGGAGACACTTTACATCGATCTATATGAATGCCAGAATGTGGGCTGGCTATATTTCATGACCGACTGAAGCCCAGAAGATACAACAAAGTTACCAAAATACCCTTGACGTCTTGAAACCCTATTTATGTTATTTCTAAGCCATTGTTGACGGCTACGCTATATAAGTTTTTCGAAGTTATTTCTATTGTTTCTCTTATTTAGGAGAGAAGGGAGGAACTCCTATCAGAGTCCTCTTGGAACTCCATTGGCTTTGGTTTTATATTATTTATATTCTTCATCTATTCATCTATGATTTATGTGACAATTTTCATGTCTGAATAGATCCACCTTTTGGATTTAGGGTTCAGATAAGTTGTGGGATTAGCCCCAACTATAGATTTCTAAGTTGTGATATTCATTATCATGATGAACACTAATGCTTGATTCTAGAGTCATGAACTAGAACCATGAACATGATGGCATTAATTCATTAATCATCATTCTGATATCATCTTGTATAAGCTAAGATCCTCTAGGCATAAGTGAGAGCGAGTCTATGATCTTGGTGGGCACTATTTCAACTCGATCTGAAGCTATATCGATCGATACTCCTATAGAGTAATCGATCGACGACAAGTATATATCGATTGATATCGCTGTCAAAACATAGATCGATATTGTCAGCATCAGATTCATGGACGAGTCTAGACTGCGAAAGCTGATAGATTCATCTAAGAGTTGAAGCTCTTTAATATCATGCATGCAACTTGTTAGGCATCTATAGCATTATAATCTTGATTACCTGAATAGAAACCCTAGATCTAGCAACCATCCTTCCATCAAACAAATCCTTGCCAAGCTGAACAATTACCTTGTTCATCTTGGTTACTGTTTTCTAGTTTATTATAGTTATTTACTGCATTAATACCTATTAGCCTATCTTAATCATATAACTATTAGATCTATTAGGTTCCCTAGCTCCCCGTGAATTCGATCTCTAAGTACTAGAACTCGACCTCTTATTTGAAAGAGTATAAATCACTCCTTAGGTTAATTTGAGTGATATCATCAACCTGAACGCCATCACTGGTCTGACCCTCTGTGAAATCGTCAAACAGATGTCCCGCGTCGACCGAGATGTATCCATCCTGCGGGGACCTTGATCTCCCCCTTGCTCCTGGAATATCGCCCATGTTCAATTCCGACTCCATTTCAGCCGCTCCTTCCGGTTGGGAACAAGAAAAGTAGTGTACAACGGTGCGACGGACCCTTTTTGGAGAAAAGTATCCCCAATAAAACAAACCACCTAGAATAAGGTCCCTGACCTGCTCGAGATCTTCAGGTTCCGGAGGAAAAGGATGAGTTTCTGCAAAACAAAAATAAAAAATAATAATAATGCGCGAAGTTAGATTCAGGGACAACAGATCAACAGGCATACGATCAAAATACCCTTTCGACCCTATTCACTCCTGAAGATGGGAAGCCAGCTTTCCTCTACCAAAGCATTATCAATTCAGGCGTAAAAGAAACATATTTTTCAGTCAAGACCATTCGAGGCAATTCCATTAAGAATCGACATGTCTTTCTGCTGGGATAGGCGACAGTAACCCTCATCACCTTTAGGCAATAGCAAAGCCTCGAAGTGGTCCGCACCGACGGTCATGCCGCGTTCGTAACTCAGCACCAAAATCCCAATAAGATGCTGCAGTGCGACAGGGAAGAGTTGACTCATCGACAGCCCAAACCGATCCATGACCTTGATTATGACTCTCGGAATGGGAAACCATAGCCGGAAGTGCAGCAAGAAAAATTCATAGCACGTGAAGTAGCCTCAAGGTGGGTACATAGCATCCTGTACGCGTTCGGGAAGAAGAAACCGAACCGAGTCCGGTACCCCACAGAAGTTTAACAAAGCCTCGAGATTATGAAAGGAACTTTTACTCGGGCCGCATCCCTTTTGAACCTGAGCCTCGGAGGAACCCAAAAATTGGGCGGAGGGACGGAGCCGCACGAATAGCTCGCCAGTATCTCTCGGTTTCCTCTTCATCGGCGATGAACCTCACAAATACTGGTTCAGGAAGGACATCACCGCTAAACGAATAAGGTCACCCGGATTAAAATAGGATGGATGGGCGTAGTCCAAAGCTCTCCACTCAGTGGACATGATAAACAAAAACTATGAAAAGCAAGAGAGAGAAATGATAAAAAGAGGGAAGAGAGAAACTTCTCTACCTTAAGATAACTTATGTGGAGAAAAGTGAGTAAAGAATTTGAAAACCTAATCCACATATTTATAAGAAAAAAAGTTACTCTTCACTTTCAGAATTTTTATCATTGAAGTTCCGCCTAATCTACCTAACTTGCCTAACTGGTCCAATCTACTTGCAAGAATACTGCGATTCTTACGAGCTGGGGGGGGCTAATTGTTTGGGTCAAAATCAGTAACAACGGAATCAACGATCAAAAGTGTCCGCAAATCTCAAAACAATCTTACAAAGGTGCGAGAACAATAAAAATCGTATCAAAGTTACATATCGAGAATGATTATTAGCTCTTCGGACAAAAGAGCTTCAGAAACCGAACAGTCGAAACACGAAAACGATCACCAAGAAGTTGGATACACAGCATCCGATTCACCCGGTAACGAGTAAGACACAACGTCAGAATTGGTACTGGGCGAATTGGGTCACGACGTCCAACTCGCCAACGCGTGAGTTGGCTACACCATTCAACTTGCTTGTTGGCTACACTGTTTAACTCGCCATTTGGCGAGTTAGGCCTTACCGTTTGCATTGCCCATTGGTAGGTCGGACGTAAGACATATACCCCTTGAATCGATCATACTCTGAACATTGATCAAAACATCTCCCGTTTCATCTCGATCCGAGTTACCGTTTGGAACGTTCCGATAAAAACCGCTAAGACTTGTTTTCTCGTATAAAGTTCGATTTAATCGTATAAAACGGTAAAGGTTAAACGGAACACCAAAATATTGTGTCGAATATAAGATTAACTCGGGCTATTTTATAAAAATGGCATCGTACTGCGGAACAATCTATAAAAGTTGTGAAAACGGCTAAAGTCGTAAAACGGTCTGAAAGGTCATAGAACGCGATAAAAGCCCACTTACGACTTTAGACAAAATCCAGCCAAAGGATATGATGATGGTTTATCCCTCATTTACAGGAAAGGATAAATATCAATTTTGGAGATAACTATAAGTTTTCTAAGGATAATTATGTATATCGAGAAAAGTGGTAGATTTTTGAGGAAAAGATAAGTACGAATCAGGGCGGAAAAGGAAAGACAAAACCGCCTAAAAGAGGAGTATATAAGGAGGAGGTCGAGCCAAGAAGCAGAAGAACGTTTTCACAACTCAGAGCTTTCATCACACATAAAACTTAGCAAATAGGCAACTTTCCGTTTTTGTTATCGAGCTGCGTCTCAACTAGGGTTTTTAGTCTTAGGTTGCTAAAACTAGGGAACTCACCGTCAACTCTTGTAGCCAAAGCACTTACTTCGTTGTACTGTTCTTACGTAAATTCTGAATAAGAAATCTCTTTGCTCTCTTTTTCGATTCTTATATTTTTAGATGTTATTTCGTATCTTTGATTGATTAGCATGTGGTTAGCAGATAACCAGGACCTCAGGGAAAGTTAGGTTAACTTGACGTTCCTTATTTTACGGAAATCAACAATGCGAATTTTGGTTCCCACACAACGCAGACATAGTAGTCCTTGCTCGCACTTTTTATTGCAATGTAAGAAAAACTATTCTAAATGTAAAACCTTTCTGTTAAAAGTATATTCTTAGACACTGAAAATCACTGTGGATTTATTTACACAATACAGTTTTAAATATCGGAGGTGAGGCTTATATGGTGGTTACACTGCTTTGGCTAGATGATGAAACAATGGTGAATGAGCCATTGTCATTAACCAGAACCACAAGTTTTTATTGTTGTGTGTGTCATTTTTTTCAATGTGGTTCAAAGAAAGAAAGTGTAAGTCTGGGTTCTCACTGACCATCCAATATATGCTGCATAGAGTTTTATTATATGCAGTAAATTTCATTTTTACTTCTTTTTTTAATGGATCATCGTTTACTATGGTTGCCATTTCTGATTTGTTTTGGTTTGTTTGCTTGAATTTGGATTATATTGTCAAAAATATGGCCAGGTCTCTTGTGAAATCAATAGTCTAATGAATTTGTGTGTTATCTATACTTCTGAAACATATGAGCTTCCATGTTACTTCAGGGGCATAGTTGGTTGTGTGGCAAACTGGATCTAAGAAGACAAATTTAGTCTCAGTGAAGCCGATTACACCTCCCATCAATAAGCCTCTAAACAGCCTCCATGGTACGTAACATGTAACACTTATCTCTTCTTTTGTATGATTCGATAGTATTTTTCAAAGTTCATCAGATATGTGTAAAAGATAAATGTTACAATTAGTGGGGACACAAAATTGTATTAGACAAGAACCAGCCTTGCATTCAGAAGTGGAAACACTGCGATGGGCGATGGAGAATATACTTCAACATTTGACTTGCCAACGTTTTGGGACGGACTGTAAGAACCTGATCACCATGATCAAGGAATCGCATGCCTGGCCAAGCTTTGCAATGGAATTGGAGAGGATAAAGACTCTGCAGATATGCTTTCCTAGACTTCAATATCACTCATATTCCACGAGAGCAAAATCAGATTTCTGATTTCTTAGCTAAAACTGCTTGATCTTTCCATAAGTAGTTATGTTTTATTTGTTATTCTATTTCGGTCTGATTACCCAGGCCACCTCAAGTTTGAGTCCCTACATCTAAATATGGAATTAACGTTGCGGAAAATATCTTTTTGTCATCATTTATCTTGTACCTCTTGAATTTGATTAAGTTAATATATAATATGTATGGTCCCTTGGATAGGTTATCCTGGTGCAGTTTCTAACACACCAAGATACACTCTCAAGTCAGAAACTACCATGAGGTTTAACATGGAGGCAGCTGTAGAGAACAAAAATACTCCGATTAAATTAGCTCAGAATACATACTGGAACTTGGCGGGTAACAACTCATGGAACATTGTTGACCGCATGATCCAGATTTGGGGTCCGCATATCACCCATTTGGATCAACACAAATCATGCGAGATCCTTACAGGAAAGGGATCTTCTTTTGCTAAATGGATAGACGAGTCTATAGGAGAGGTGTGTATCGGATATGATCACAACTACGTATTGGACTGTCCTGATCAAGAGAAGGGCGGGCTGAAACACGCAATAATGCTGAAGAACAGTGCAAGTGAAACAAGTGGTTTCACATGGATGTAGTTTAGGTGTCAACTGATTGGAATAAATGGCCGTTTAACTTATTTATATCTTCATATATATACTATAAGTCACGGCTACTATATATGTACAAGGAGGACTTGAATTTTTTCAGAGACATGTTATTTTCTCATTCAAAAAATATATTCCAAAGCTTTGGTTTATTGAATTGTTTTTGACTACCCAAATACAATATATGGAGTTTTTGACTCATTATCACAAATAAATATTGATGACTCAAAAGTATTTGAATTACACATAATATTATAAACTTTTAAAGTTATTGATCATCAATTATCTAAACTATCGCTTGAAATACATGGTACATCAGAATAAACTTTGGACTATAAGTTTTCTATGAACAGTTTTAAGATTAAAAATTAGGCAGTCTCTTATGTAGAAGGATTAACTTATTGTTGGATCTATAAAAGTACGAACATTATAGCCCAGTGACACTCCGTTTATTTTCCATCACTCGAATACTGAAAAGTGAAAAGGTATGTGAAATCGGGTCCATTAAATTCTAAACTTTGATTTACAATTCTAATTACAATTGTTTCTGATCCTACGTATTGATAAATATATAAAATTTTCAAAATTCTAAAATTTCAAATACATATAAAAACAATCATATGTAAATTTTAAATTTGTCAATACTAAAATTTTATATTTTAATTATATACATTCACCCTGCACAAGGCGCATGTCTTGTCCTAATACAATGTATAACTGGAGATGGTGAAACTGCAAGCGTATGGTTTGATTATTGGACAATTTAGGATCTTTATTTGATTTGGTAGGTCAAGAAGGTCCTCGTAGCTTGCGAGTCAGGAAGAGCGCTTTAGTGCTTGATGCAAGAAGTAACGGTTCTTAGAGATTACCTGCTGCAAGGTCTCGTGAGCTTCAAAGAGTCCATATTGCTATAACAGCTATTGTGTATCCACAAATAAGAGGAAATTTTGATGTCTGGTTTTTAGGGGTGGGGGGTGGGGGAGGGGGGAGGTCATAAAGCGAACCTTATCTCAATTGTTTTTTGCTATATTCGTATTGAGAAGTTCATTTTGCGCGATTCACAAGGTTATACAAACAACTAATATTTCATGCTCAAAGGTTTAGTATTATTTGCATTAGCAACATTTTTATTGACCAATTAGAATTGTCTTCCAGAGTCCGTAGTCAGGGGCGAAGCCAGTGCCAAGACTATAGTGGCATGTGCACCCGTAAGTTTTTAAAATATCAAACATTTTGTATGTAAAAATGCAAAGAAATCAGTTAGATTAGATGGTTTAGTAGTGTTGTGCACCCCTTTCAAGTCTCAAGTTCGATGCCCTTTTAGTCTTTTATTATATTTTGCACCCACTGAATACTTGTTCTGGATTCGCCCCTCTCCGTAGTTGTCACAAAATTATAGACTCGGTGGCATTTTTATGTTAATAAAAAATGGTTCGCTGACATGTTAACAAAAATAGTCAACTACAGAAAAAGGCATTTTTAATTCCCTCCGGTGCCCAGCCCGGAGGCTGGAGGAATCTGGTGCCTGGATATTTTTTCCCAACAGTTTGCCACTTATTCCTTGATTTCAGCGATGGAATCAAGGGATAAAGTGTGTCTAGGTGGACCGTAGTCGCTTTATCTCAACAGATTCTCCTTAGGTAAGACATCGCTCTAGGCGCCTTATTCTCCAGGTCATTTGATAGGCCGGGACCGTGTTTAGGGCCTAGAGTAAGTCGCATTTCCCTTGGTAAAATGGCGTCCAGGAGACATCTTCAAGGCCTGAGCCTCTTGGAGTCGATTGCGCGGAGTCGTGATCTGGTGGATGACTTCTGGTTGAATAGGTTCCTACCTTTTTCTGCTTCAAGGCCTCGCAACTCGGAGCAGAAAGGATTGGGCCGTAGATTCAAAGGAGATGACGTATCGGGCCTTCGGGCTGAATCTTTTGGAAGGAGAACATGGACTTTAGAGTCGGCCCATAGTCGCTTTTATTTTTGGCGCTTATTTTAGCGCGTGGAGACATCTTCGAGGTGCGTATAGATCATCTTCATGGGTTTACTACTTCACACTCTCTCGCACCTCTCGATCTTCCCATGTCTTTTCCTCTTCTCTTCCCTTCCTCCAGCGATTCTTGTGGTGATTCTTCCTCTCCAAAGATTTCTTCCCTCTTCGAACAGGTAGCCATTTTCTTTCTTCTTTCTCTTCGTTTAGCCGTGAAATCAGGGCCTTTTAGCTATTCTTTAGGTATGTCTTCCATGGGGAGTAGAGTCAGGTCTAGGAGAGAGATTGAGACCCTAGACCATGTAGGATCCCCTTCACCCTCTGTCGATTTGTCCGTAGAAATCCATAGATCCGACTCCGTGGATGCAGTGAAGGAGGTTAATGTTAAAGCGGAGGTGTCCTCATCGATTGGTCCTCCCTCGAAGATAGAGGAAAATGAGATCGGTGAATGGAGGAGGAAATACAATCTCCCTGGAGAAATGGTGATCCGTGCTCCGAGCCCTTCCGAGAGAGTCTTGGATTTCAGAATTGATGAGATCCGGATATACGAGGCTTATTTCGAATCAGGATTCAGGGTCAGGTTCCTTCTCTGGTGGCTAAGGTGTCAGATTTTTTCGACATATCCCCAGGCCAACTCACTCCTCCAGTCTAGAGACTCCTCATAGCGATCCAGAATCTAGGTGAGCTTGAGGGTATCGTCCTACGGGTGAGAGCAGTCTTGTACTCCTACTTTGTTACCCCCTAGATAGCCAGCGGAGGCAGATATTATTTCCATCCTCGACTCCGGAGTCCCCTTGTTCGAGAGATATTGAAGAATGAGAAGAAATGTCACCCAGTTTTTAGCGAATTGTGGGCTGAGAAATTTGCAGTCATGAGTATGCTCGGCTTTTACACCATTTGGAACATAGTTGGTAGGTTGCTTTAGTCCTCTAGTGGGTTGTTATCGTTGTACTAATATCTTCTTTCTTTTGCAGACATGTCTCATCCTTTAGCAGGCGAAGGGAAAGAAGCAGTTGACCAGGCTCTGAAGCTTTCTAAGGAACGTCGCATAGTCAATTTTATCGTGAGCAAGGAGGTTTTAGGGCATTGCAGAATATGGGGTAGGTCCCATGAGCCTCTCTATTTTTGTTGATTAATCGTCGTGGTGAAGTGTGTCGTGACTAGACTACGTTTCACTCTTTCATGTAACATGTTGGGATCAACTGGAGAAGAGGCATTGCAGGCTTTCAATAAGGCGATGGAGAAGCTTTCTGCCAAGAAGCCATCATCCAAGGCCGCGATTACTGCTAAGGAAGATGATGAGGTTCAATTTCTCTGATCCAGCAAGCGTAAAGCTCCGACCAGTGCGACTCTTGCCGCTTCCAAGAAGAAGGCTAAGGCTGCAGGGACCGCTCCAGGAGTCTCTCGTGCTGCTCCAGATGGGTTGGCGATAGCTCTGGCTGATCTTAATGAGAAGTTTTTTTACCTGCAATTTCGTGTTATCTACCTGCGAGGATCTCCCTAAGTCAATTCAGACTCTGCAGCGTGATCTTCTTGAGGTGCGTGGTTCTTCTTTCTTTTTTACTGCCTATAATGCTTGCACACTGGTTTTTATTGGATGGTGCTTTCCTTGCAGGCAACGTCTCATCTGTCTCATCTCAAGGACATGGTAGCTGAGCAAGCCTCCGACCAAGCGAAGGTGGAGGCCTTGATGTCTAAGCTCTGTGATGAGAAGAATTGCGGTATGGCCCGGGAGAAGGAGATCAAATCTCTGCAGGTCAGGCTGAAGAAGCATTGCTCTCAGGGACGAGATTGAGGAGCTAAAGGAAGAGTTATGCGGGCTGAAGTCTGAGAAAGAGGACTTTGAAGATGAGAGGGTTGTAGCAGTGCAAGGAGCTACAATTGTTGCTCGTTAGGAGTTGATGAGGGAGTGGCTTTACGTGCAGACTGATAAGTGGAGGCCATTGGAGGATTTTGAGCGCTACAAAAAGGTGAAGGTTGCAGAGGCTGCGCGCCAAGGTTTACCTACTCCTTCTTTTGAAGACAAGCCTACTGTCAAGGAGATGGGAACTCCAAAAGAGTCTCCTCTGCATGTGCATGTTGACAATCCTAAGGCCTCTTCTCTGCTTGATTTTTCTCCAAAAAATGAACTCTGTTTTCTGATGCCCTTTGTTTGGGCTTTGTTGTCTTGTGCCCTTCGGGGTTTAGAACTTGGTATTGGGCCTTCGTGCCCTTTTTTGTTTTTTGTAGAACTTTTATGGCCTCTTGAGTCCTATACTTTAAACCCTTTTTTGGATTACTGCTTTTGTTGTTGATTGAAATGTTTAGCTCGGATGCTTTGTAGATTTCACCAAGTGTATTGTAGGTTTTCCCAAATGCTTTCTTGGGTGTAAGACATCAGCCCCAAGGCATTCTGAGCATTTGGAGGAGAGGATTCATGGGCCCTCTGAGGTGAGTTAAGGACTGATGAGAAGTTTAAGGCACTTAGAAGATTCTAAGATTTCTCTTATCATCAGGGTCCTTACAAGTCTGCGTTATAAGGATCGGATGTCCGGACCCAATGATGGTTGTTTTAGATTTGACTTATGAAAACAAATTACCATGAATTTGGGATTCAGGGATAGAAACGAAATGCAAAACTCTGAGTTTTCAACACTTGGGACCCGAGAGTCTTGGAGGATTCCTAGAACACTGTTTAGATCCTGAGATCCTTAATTTGGCCCTTCCTTCTACTATTGTAACATGGAGACAGGAGCACTCTTTAGGACGTGGAAGCTCATAGTTCTAAATTGATAGGCTCAACTTTTGGGCCTTGAGATTCTGGTTGAGCTTGAAGACTCGTTGTTTGACCTGAAAGTTTCTCTTGGACTCTAAGGTTTCTAGCTAAGCCCAGGGGAAAGAAGTGAAAAAATCAGGATTTTGAACATTGAGAACTCGGAAATTCATGATATAACCCTGAGGTTAGTTTTTGGATTTCGCAAATCCAAATCGATTGATTGGGACCCTAGGGTCTTTCCTGTACGACATGGAAA